GTTGCCGCACAGCAAGTAGGTCCTGAGTTCAATTCCACCATCAGGCCAGGGTCTTTCTGTGTGGAGTTTGCATGTTCTCCCTGTGTTTGCGTGGGTTCCCTCCGGGTACTCTGGCTTCCTCCTCCTTAACATCAGAATAAAATCTGTGCACCGGAAGCTATATGGCATTAGTTTCCATGTCTGAGCAATTTCTGTAGTTTAATGTCTCTGTATCATGGTAGTTTTGCCCAAAAATTTAAGCTGTATCCAATTTTCACTGCAGTGTTTCTCTACAGACTGTGGTGGTCTTACTCAGCATGACTACAATTTACTCATTTTCCTTGAAGGTCTTGCAGGCAGCTGGTTGTGTAACTGAAAATGGATTTTAGCCATGACATAAGAACCACTCATCCAAACAACTCCACACTGCACTTACTTCGATGCTCAGCCATGCACTCTCCAAGTTTTAAAGTAGATTGGATGAACACTCATGGAGAAAAGAACAGACACATATGCAGACACATGCTGCTTGCATATTAATGTGCTATTAATATCAAGTCAATCTGATATTAATCTAGCACAGTAACATACACTGACAGCACCCATTTTGTTGTATCATGAATACTTTTATACTTCAGGTTCATTTTGCTAAGTTTTGTGAGTGTATGTGACCCCACTCTAAATCATTAGTATGACTTAGAGTGGGGTCACATATTCAAACTTATAATCGATTAATTTTTTTAATTATCAGGAAATATATTCATCTCAGTGACTGCAAATGTTGGTCGTTCTTTTGTCTAGTTGTATAATTTAAGATTAAAGCACATCTAATTGGTGACACGTGATCAAATAATTACCTTCAATGAGAAGTCCTAACACAGTTAAAGTGTTTTCTGCATGTGTCCTTGTGTGCTTGTGTTTCCCCTCTCGGCCTAGAGATGTGAGGCGTATTGGTGTGGAGCTGATCGGCCACCAGAGGCGAATCATCAGCAGCATACAGACCCTTCACCTTCAGCTACTGCACGAACACGAGAAGGGTTTCCATGTATAAGGACGCCCTTTATTATAACCTGGGATGGACAGATAGATGGACCAGATGGAAGTGAGGTCTAGACCATGTGACAGACAGTCTACAGCCTGTGCCTGGGTCTTAACCCCTCATACAGGAGGTCATTGGACAGACTACTCCAGCAGACTCTCCCCTGGTCTCATTCACGTCCTATAGTAACAAACTTTTTCTACTATACACCCCTTACACAGTATGCCTGGTTCTTCCAGACTATTTCAGCCTGATAGACTGTTCAGGCTCTCCCAGGCCTTCACTTAGGGGAATGTAATGCCTTGTTGCAACAACAGTACTTTGTGTGTGGCGCAACAATATCTAGAGGTGTAGATTTGCAAATGTAATCTACTGATTCTTTTTCTTTGTATGTTCTTTTTTTTTCTTTCTGCTCTGAGTTATGTGCTCATGTAGCTGCTATCGGGTGTGCAATGGAAACATTTTGTCCTTTGAAAAAAAAAATATATATATATCCTCAATATTTTTTATTTTGGAGTTTGATATTTTATCATAAAGGTTTATTTGGATTGCTTTAGTTACCCTCTCTCCAGAGAATCTGGTACACTAATACTTGAAGAAAGAAGCGGGAAGTTTATGAATGTTTAAAAGTGTATAGACAAGTAATAATAATTATTATAACCTAATATGAATATATGTGCAGTCCTGTATGTGAAAGCCCTAGTAAATCTGGATCTTATTTAGATATTTGATTTTACAGAAAATAGGTTTGTTTGTTTGTTTTTTAATCAAAAACAGCAATACAGTATTATGCAGTCACCTCAGTATCTCAGAGAAAGATGAAGAATTGTGCAATGAGAGAACTCTTGTTGACATACAAACATGAGGCTCACATAACACCATCCGTCAGTTTTAGTGTCATACCCAAAGCTTGCAAAACTGGATCTGTTGCTTTTAGATGAACCAGTGTACACCCAATGGTGCGATCAGCCTGTTTTGTTTTGGATTCTTTATTTATTTACTTGGATTGTGAATGTCATACATTGCCTGAAAGTACACGAATCTCCACTGTCTTAATATATGAATGTTCACAGAGCTTAGCTATAGAGGAGAGACGTTTGGTTGGAAACTTAACAGGGACTTATATGATGAAATTCTTCCATGCCGTTATTGGGGTTTTTTTCTTGCACACACTCACACAGACAGTACTGACAGAGGTTTGCACTTCAGAGACAAAGCTGATCCATGATGTCAGAGAATAGCTCATCTGGGGCGCAAGATCACCAGATGGAGTAATTGTGGTGGTGTAAAGATTGTGATATGGGAAAACTGTGTACATAAACATAGCCTAATTTCAAACTGGCAGTAGATGTCATGTTGTTGGATGTTTGCCATTGAGATGAACATTTTCTTCATACTCTTAAGTCTGCTGGGAATATGCAGTGGTGAAGAATAAAAGTACTTAGAGCTGGAGGCAGCAGAAGTAGCTAAAAGCTGGTTAACCTGTTAGCAGTCGGACGTACCGCCCACGGTACATTGGATGGTTTAGGGGACTAATTGTAAATTTGTAGGACTGCTAAGGGGTTAATGGAAATCGGTGTGAAAAACGTCAGTAGTCTTAGTTACGTGAGGTTAGGACAGATGTGTTCGCCAGAGAGGGAGAACCAACATAAACAGCAGCATCATAACTCATCATGTGTCATTGTAACATCGACAGTAACAAACACAAATGCTCAAAAACACACAAACAGACACAGAATGCCTTACAGTCTGCGGACCTTGCAAGCCGTTTATACGTTTCAGTGCAGTCACAGGACCTAGCCATTAGTCTGAATTGTATGAGAATAACCTCCCATCTACAGCTGTGGGTTTTAATAAGAATTGGAGCTCAATGATTAATGTCAAGGGCAAACTGGATACAAAGATCTGTGCCTTTCGGTCACGGCGCAGTCATGCATCCAGGCCTTCAGGAGCAGGAAAGGTGCACGCACAGCACACATTCAAACGCGCACACATTTGCACACACACACACACACACGCTCGCAGTCACCGCCGCTCTACAGAATATGGGGAATATCAGATGCTGTTTGTTTAGCATGTTCTACTGCTGAGCAATGTTAGAACGTTCTTTTGTACAAAGTACAAGTATACTTATAATTCTTGTATTTTATTTTTCTATGATTTCCAAAGAGATGTTGTAGATCTTGCACACTGTAAGAGGCAGTTACAGCGAATATTTATTTGCAAATAAACATGAACAGTTCTGGCGGTTGACTGCTCATTTCATTTGGTTCGTTTTCATTCACTATCACTTGAATGAGACGCAGAGCGGCTCGAGGAAAGGAAAATGTCTCTTCGGTCAGACAGGACAGGCTGTCCTCTCAGTGAAGATAACGTGATTTAACAAAGCTCAAGGACTAAGCTCCATCTCTCTAATCTGCATTTAAGTTATTGTCAAATGTATGTGACTTTTCTCTTTAAACTAGGCAATTATCCTGACATTTTACAAGGTACTGATAACCAAAAGATGGAGCTGTTGGACCACTCAGCAGCTTCAAAACTGTTATATGAGAAGATTAAAATATTAACTACTTAGATAATAATAAAAAATAAAGACTACGTGCATAATTTTCAGATTGGGTACGCTATATACTTTCTGCTGAGAGGAGTGCTCATTTCTGAATTGTTCCATTGAATGTTAAATTAATTAAAATTTACATTTCAGGTCTTAGAATATGCTTCTATATGAGATTAATGTGGCCAAATAATGTGAAATTTTAGATATCCTATTTTCTGTATTTTTTTCAACTACAGTATTCTCTAACAGATGGATTTAATTAGATTGTAAAGCATGACAGAGTTTGGCTGCCGTCATTAAGTGAGCAGAGGATGCTGATGATAAACTGCTGTTGTTTGCATGTGTTTTTGCACCTTCAAGGGGGGCCCAGATCTGAGGCGGGTGGGGGCCTCCAGAGCGTTTGAGTAATAAATCAAATGCATCAGGCCGGGGGGCCTGGGAAGCTCCATACTCCTCATGATCAGGTCGCCGGGTGGTTCACCGAGCTTAATTCGTCCTAATAGGATTACCTTGCACAAGCTGGGATGCCCAGGGAGCATCTCAGCTTGCGGCTCTATTCATGGCATGTACTAGGAACATTCACGGCTATGTTTATCATTATTTTTTGCTAGTCTGAACACATTTAATTCCCAGTAATCAGACCATCTATGGGGTGATGTGTTGAAAAATTAATTGGCATAGCATCAGCTGAGTGTAATGGGGTTGTTGGATAAACTGACGGGTTGGCTCGGCCTGAAGAAGAAAGAGGTCAACGTTTTGTGTCTTGGACTGGACAACAGCGGCAAAACTACCATCATCAACCAGCTCAAACCACCTAATGTAAGTTCATAACTGAGCTTCAAGAGTGAGGTATTTTGATATCTTTTTTTAAAGTGGAACTGAGAGGCATTTGTGTTTATAGTCCTGTAGGTAGAGAGGCTTTTAAGACATGTAAATCTTTTCTAAACACCTGCTAATTTGGTAAACACGCTGTACGAAGGCCTGTCACAATCTATATTTCGCTGCAGTCCTTCACTGGTTGCTTGTTTTCAGCATTCGAATCATTTAGGCCCATTGTCAGAAGAGTGGAAACATGTTAGTCAGGTAAAGCCCGTATTACACTTTAATTATGTTATTTTGTTGTTGACATACTTTTGCCGTTACTTGTCTGTTTTTGTGTGTTTGTGCTCGGGGATGAATGCAGACACAGGCACAAGAAATCGTCCCAACAATTGGTTTCAACATCGAAAAGTTCAAGAGTTCAAGGTAGAATGCAATTCCGCAATTTTACAGCATATTTAAAATGACTAATCCAGCAGTTTTTTTATGATGTTAAGCTGTCTTTTTCCTCCTTCCTCTCTCCTCCTTTCTGCACGCAGCCTGTCCTTCACAGTCTTTGATATGTCTGGGCAGAGCAGATACAGGAACCTGTGGGAGCATTATTACAAGTAGGGCACACAAACATGAACAACAAGCCTTTTGCTGGTCAGATATTCAAACTTTCAAAACTGACACTGTACATCTCCTTCTCCTATCTTCTGTAGAGAGAGCCATGCCATCATATTTGTCATTGACAGCAGTGACAAGCTGAGAATGGTTGTTGCTAAAGAGGAGCTAGACACTCTTCTCAACCATGAAGGTACACAATCTTTGTTTTTAGACACATTTTCTACACAATTTAGTTTGTCTGGGTATAAAAACCAAAAGAAACAGTATATAACTGATGCAGATTGTGTGTATAACTTGTTTAAAATGCCTGAATTATGAGGCCAGTTATCTAAACCCTAGTTAAGTAATATTTGCACCATTCATTATAAGCTTGAACTGATACATTTTAGTGGCTTTAATCTAGGTAGCATCAAGTAGAGTGATCATATTTGAAGATATCCTGTCCAACATCTAACACTATCTGTAGTGGAATAAAAACCAAAAAAGCTTTTTTTCCCCTCTGGCTCTTAGATCACGATAAACTGGTCTTGACATTTTTTCTTCTATGCAGATATCCGCAGCAAAAGGATACCAGTATTATTTTTTGCTAACAAGATAGATCTGCAGGATGCAATGTCTTCTGTCAAGGTCTCACAGATGTTGTGTTTGGAGAACATCAAAGACAAGCCCTGGCACATCTGGTAATTTATCTGCCACCCTGAGTTCACCATGCTGAGAAGTAGCACACAATAAAAACACCTCCAGAGACACTGTTGAGTAATTTGTTACCAAAGTCATTCAGGTGTTTGTAGTCTTCGAGGAAGTGCCCTTACTGAACAGAGCCAAGTCTCGTCACACCCCTATCTACTCCATTTTATTCTCCCCAAGTTTACAGCTTGAAATCTTAAATAAAGATAACGTGTACCGTTTGCTCCCCGGCCACTTCCTGTTTATTTGATTTGTCTATGGTTCATGGGTTAAACATTACCGAGGGGCACGGCAACATGCCATCAGTGCGTATGTGTGTGTTCCACCTGGTTACTCATTAGACAGATGGTAGAGTGATGGATTAAAAGCTTGACAGCTTTAAATGTCCAGGATCCAAGAAAAGTCAT